CGAACGCGGCGTAACCTCCGTCTCCCATATCTCCGTCCGCGTAAATACTGCTACTACAAGTCTACAAGTCGGCGCCCACACTCCTAAGCCACCTCTCACCCGCACACCCACCAGACCAGCAGCCAAGAGGGCGAAGGAAAGTAGGGGCACGGGCGTCAGTTTCCTGCTGGCAGGTGCAGTCACCCCGACGCCCTCTTCTGGCGATCCAGGGAGGAGAGCGCGCGGGGTGTGTGAGCGATTTCCGATATTTGATTTGTTGTGGGCAGCGGTGGCGGGAAGAAACATTATCGCACGAGCCGGGGGTAAAGGAAGAGGGAGGTGATCTCCAGCGAGAGCGAGAGAAAGGCTGGCACTCCCTTCTTTCCCAGCGTGACGGGGTGCGCTTGCGATTGACAGCAAGCACACACACGCATGTCGCCTACGGATGTCGCCAGGAGCAGCAGTAGCAGTAGCAACACGCAAGAACCACCAGGAGGAGGAAAAGGCAACACGCTGATTACGGAGGAGGCGCTGCTGCTGCTGCCGGTAGTAGCAGCCCCGGCCGCGTCCAAGCCCCCTGCTGTAGCGGCAGCAGCGCTACTACGCGAGGACACGAGCAGCGTGAGCTCCCATGGTGCCTCCTCTCCCCCGGTTCCGATCTCGACAGCATCAGCGGCGGTGCAACTGCCCCATCAGGAGCAGGATGGAGGGGGAGAGCCGGGGGAGGCAGCGCGTGGGGGATCTGCTGGCAACTTGTCTAGTGGGATAAGCGTTGAGGAGCTCAAGAAGATGACGGCACTGCGGATGGCCAACCACCACCACGGCCACCACCACCAGCGCCTTCCCGATGCCAGCAGCCCTTTCGAACATGACGGTGCGTAGTAGTATAAAAAAAGATCGAAAGGTTGTCGGTAATGATGGTGATGATGTTGGTGATGCTCGCGCAATCGTTCTTTGCTTCAGCACACCGTACACTTGCGTCGTATGCAAACCTGTATGTACCGCCGTGCAGCAGACTACGTTTCAGTACGTAAAGAGAATATATTGATTTTTGATTTATTGATTTGTTTATTTTGCCGGAGAGTTCCCCTCCATCGGGCGTGTGGTTGATGGTGTGCGTACAACAAGACTACGCCTGCATTGTATGTAGACCTCGACATTGGGATCAGCAGTTGTTGTTGCCTTGTTGTTGCTGTCTTCACATTAAAAAACGTTCCGATCTCTCTCTACCCAGTACCTTCATATGTCCGTACTGATCCAACACTTGACGCGGTCGATTCCCGTGGTCACAGCAGGCTAATAACTTACCTTTTAACCCTAAAAAGTTACCTTTTACCCTAAAAAGGTACGCTCAAACAAACTGGCCCCGAGGGGTTCGCAAGTCAATAGAAATCAACGACAGATATTCTGGAGTCCTCCGCTCCCTCTGCGCGCATTGCGAGGTAACAACTGAGACTAGTCAGCATCACGGGCCAGAGAGAAAGAGGTACACTCCCTTGGTTCAATCTTGGTGCTTCAGACGCAAGCAGAGACAAGGCCATCTGACACAGAAAAAGAGAGAAAGAAAGAGCGACAAGGATACTAAAGAGAAAAAGAGAAAAAAATAAAAGGAAACAGGAAGGAAAGAGAACAGTAGCATCTCCGAGACCTGCGTCGCGATCGCTCTCATGCGCTGCATGGCATGCCACAGCAACCCCAACTATTGTTTCGTCGGAAATCAAAGAGTCGAGAGAGGACGCAGCCTTTTTCCTCTTTCTTTCCAGAAAAAAATGTTCGTATTTTGCAATATTTTTCCCGCCCAGGTTCACATGGTGTGTCTGCTTGTAGTAACTAAGTATAAGGTGAAATCCCTTGGTGTTCTGAATGCATCGCATTTTACCCCGTAACCACAATCTGTAGATACAGGAAGGCTTTACGGAAAGAGGATATCCATGATGCGCTTGTTTCATACACTGAAAAGACTCCACCACATCCCGTTCGACTGTGGGTATATCTCGAATGGGTAGTCTTTCTGTGTGTGTTTATATTATTCCTTAATACACGGCACAGCTTGTTTTTTCTGTCTTTCAGAGAGAGTACACATCTACGAGGTATAAGTGCATGACGTCATTTTTTTTCCCTGTGGTGCAAAACTTCGAATGTTCAAACAATTCTTCATCTCGATCCACAGCAGGAGTTGGCGCGCGTTGTTATTGTTGTTGTTGTTGTTGTTGTTGTTGTTGTCTTCACATTACACTCGTGTCAGTTGCTAATCCCAAAATCTAGCAAAAGCTCGAGTACAGGGTTACAAGAATGCTAGAGCCATCAGAGGATCCAAAGAACACGCCACAAGGAGAGAGGGTGCACAAGCCCGAAGAGGTTACGTTCCTAAAAAAACACCAAGTGTGTTACCAGATTCATCTAATCTTGGGGAAAATAAATACACACACAGAAAGACTACCCCTTCGAGAAGTACCCTCTCACAGCAGTAGTCGAAAGTCCAAAGATCCGACAAAGCCACGAGTCCAGGAGGCCTCGCCTTTAGGATGAGGAGACGGCGTTTTTTTTTCAAGTGTTTTTTTTTTTTTTTTGTCAGTGTCACCCAACGAATCTATTTTGTCAGTATGACCTATATAACAGTGGCCAGAATCGGGTGCACCCGGTCAAAACACGGCCATAATCGGGTAGCCCTACAAGACGCTGCTGGGAGCGTCCGCATGCCACCATCTGATTGGCCGACGCCCGCCCCTACCCGGCCTTGGCCGTCGTTCCACCGGGTGCACCCGATCTTTGCTACTCACCCCCCGGAGGGGTACCCGGTTTTTCTTTCCCCTACCCGAAAGTTGGCTGGGCTGTTCGACCAAAACCCATGCACACAATCACGGGTCGGACGCATACCACTGGCCCTCATTTTTCGCCAATGAGCAAGTAGCGGGAGGGAGAGAATATGTCTATTTTTTAAATGAGTCTTGTGTCTGTCGCATCTCGTGAGGGAGGGATTCATCCAGCTCTTCTTCTTGATCACTTGCACAGACAGACCATTAGCCGTTTCCCCCAAGGGAGACTTCCATCGCCGGCGGAGGGTCTGCCTCCGCCCGGCAGGCCGTCAGAACGTCCGAATTTTCGAGGGCAGGGCGTTGCGGACGTGTACTTGTGTGCATGGGTTTCGGTCGAACAGCCCAGCCAACTTTCGGGTAGGGGAAAGAAAAACCGGGTACCCCTCCGGGGGGTGAGTAGCCAAGATCGGGTGCACCCGGTGGAAAGACGGCCAAGGCCGGGTAGGGGCGGGCGTCGGCCAATCAGATGGTGGCATGCGGTCGCTCCCAGCAGCGTCTTGTAGGTCTACCCGATTATGGCCGTGTTCTGACCGGGTGTACCCGATTTTGGCCACTTCTCTTTTTCCCTGCCTTCCTTCCTGTTTCAAGTGGACGAAATCAAAAACAACACACGACACGCTCCAAAAAATGGTGTCAAATTTCTTGGACACACTGACCCGTCGTCTGAGAAAACAGGGAAGTTCTTCTGCTTGCTGGTGCTGCCGTTCATGCTGATCTCCTTCCGTTTTTTTGTTTTTGCCTTGCCGCTCCATTTCACACAAACAGGATTGAATTCCATTTTGATACAAACGGACTGCTATCGCCTTCCTACCTGCCATACATACTGCTCTGTACCCCAATCCCCTCTAATGCGTTTCGTTTCACCTACACTCATCACGCGAGGTGATCAATGTCGCGTTGTAGATTTCAAAATGAGCCGGAACCAGCTTGCTCGAACCACGAACTCCTGTTTTTCTAAATATAAATATAAAATGAGTGTACATGTAGATTCAAAATACAGCTTTCTCTGACGCTACAATGAATCCATTGCTAATCTTACTCTTTCTTAGACTCTTTTTTCGTAGATAGAGATGGATTCGTTGGGTCAAATTCGAAGAATAAGAAATAGATTCAGAATAGCTGTCAACCGCCGCGCCGTGTTCCCTGTGAAGGCCACATCTTCCAACACACGGCTTTCCGGAGGTCTTCTCCCCTTTTGTCGTTGACCCAGGAGAGAACTACAGGGGATGTGTTACGAAATGTACTCCTCGTTACAAAATGTACCCCTATACAGATACTTTTGTTGTTAGCACCAGCTGGCATCACTGATACAATTCAGTGTATACGTGGGCTTAAAACAAACTCAAAATAAGCCCAGTTTCCAGCCGGTTTCCCTCCACTCACTGAGAAGACTTAAGTACACCCCTCTCGACTGTTGTTGTATCTCGAACGGGTAGTCTTTCTGTGAGATTATGATTGCTTTATAAAAATACAACAATCACATTCCGCTTGTGTCCCTCTCTCCCAGACTATGTAGTCTTTTGAAACGCGTCTTCCTTTTTCTGCGTCTCTGTCGTGCAATGTACGCAGCATTATGTCCTCGAGTTCATGCGGTTATATACTAGGCGACATTCTTTAGCGATGCATTTTTGTGGACCACCTCAACACATAGGTAGAAAATCGAAGTTACCGCACTCGCTCTCCCTCCAGCCGCGCACGAAACAGCTCTGTGGTATGTATCTTGTTTACGTGCACAACAACGCTGACCACGTTTAGAGTGTAGACACTGCTTGAAGAATCACACCTCGCTAGGCGTATCATACCAATCCGAGAGAATTTCCCATTCCTGCTGGCTGGTACGCGCGAGAATCGACTGACACCTGCGGGTGGATCGTTGCACGCAGGAGCTATTTAGCCTGTTATTATGTCTAACGGATTTTATCGTTATTTTTTTTTTTGAACCCACGTGTGATTCTTGCCGCCGGGGGTGCAGGAGAAAGTCAACTAGCGGGGCGGCAGCCGCAGCCGCGTTCGCGGGCCTCGTCTCCAGACCTTCCGCCGCCGCTGCTTGTAGCCCACGAAGGGAGGGATCGCGAGGCAAGCCTCGAGACGTCGGCGTATTTCGGGGGGGACGGCGTCCACCGCCACCGGCAGCACCCCCTCCCCCCCCCTCGAACGTCTTCCTCTCGCAGCATCGGAAGCGGAAGCGGCAGCCTCACCCACGGAATGTTGCCTTCTTCCACGGTGGGCGGATCAGCGGGGGACCAGCCGCCTCATTCGCGGCGTCAAGACGGGATTATTGTCACAGGGGCAGCGGCGGCCGCGGCGGCGGCGGGGGCGGCGGCAAGCAGCGGCCCGGTGGGGGGGGGGCATGGAGGAAATGTCCCCGCCATCCCCCCGACACCTTCCAGCACCACAAGCAGCGGCGGCCACAGCACCAGGAGCGGCGTCCGGGGGGGGAGCGTCAACCTCGGGGGCCGGTCGGTGTCGCCGATAGGGAACGGCAGGCGGAGGCAGTCCCCTCTGGCGAGGCCCCAGGGGGGAAGCAGCAGGGGCGGCGGGGCGGGGGCGGCTCCGAGGGGTGCTCAGTTCGCGTCTGCCATGCCGCACGGGCTGACCGTGCAGGAACTCAAGGAGTTGACCAAGGTGATTTTCAGAGTTTTTTTTGTCGTCAGCACGCCTCTTGTCTTTGTGAACTCACTGCGATGACTTCAACACATCCCCATCGCCTCTGGCACTAACTCGGTTGGGTAAGCTCTTCTGGTGGCTGTGTGTACGTTTTCTAGAAATTGGCGTCATCCACAACCAAATGCCGGTGGTGAGAAGTGTGATGCGGGGGTGTACAACCCAGAACTTTTCGAGAATGTTATTTGCATGTGTGGGCGTCGGCCGGCCGTCGTGGTCTCTTGGCGGTTGTTTGTTCTTTGTTGTGCTAACGGTTGCCGTGGTTGGTGCGTCTCGTTCTACTGTACGGCGATCGGTTCGTTCGAAGGTTGGGCACCTCTCCCCCTCCTGTCTCCGACGGTGCTCCATCAATCACACACACACACACACACCCGTGCAACGCCGCGCACCCCCCGCCGGGGGTAACCTGATGATGAGCGCGTCTTCATGCTGTCCGTTCCCCTAGACAAGAGTTGGGGGTCAGGGTCAGGGTCAGGGTCAGGGTTAGGGATAAGAATACGAAGCCCTCTCTATTTCGTAGATTAATTCGACAATCCTCGCTAAGGCGAGCTGGTTGTTTTGACTCCCCGCAGAATCATCTATCCGCGAAGGCCGGCAATACATGAGTACCCCCCCTCCCCCCTCCCCCTTCATTCGCAGATACGTCTCGCGAGGGAGGCGCTGACCGCGCCGGCTCAGCCTGCCTCCTCCGCCCTCCCGGGAGCACAACAAGAACGGAATAACCCTTGCTCCGACGGCGGCGGCGGCGACTTCGGCCGAGGGCGGGCTGTCTCGCCGGCTCGCAGCGGCGACCTTGGGCGGCGCCGCGGGGGGCACGCGGACAGCCGGAGCCCGGTGCCTCGCTCGAGCCCTTCCACGCCGGGCGTGGAGGATCGGCCGCATCGTCGCACCCGGCGGGGTGGGCGGCGGGGACGTAACAGGTGACAAGCGGGAGAGTTTCTACACGTGGCCTTTTTTTTTGTTGTTGAATCGCAGCAGCGGAGGGGGGTGCGATAGTTGTTGAGGGTGGGTCCGACGGGGGCGGTGCGGGAGGCTGTCCACTGCCCCTGTGTTTGACACCGCGCCATTGCCGTTCGATATCTCAAGTGTTGCGCTACAGCCTGTCGCATCTTGGGCCCTTTCCCTGTGTTCTGTGGGGCCGGCAACGCAGATTCAAGTAGCCTCTTACCCGTTCTTATCCGTAGCCGAGGTGTGGGTGCGGGTAGCATTGGTCGCCCGTGGTCTGTTTTTCTGAAAATCTCTCGAAGACACCACCACCTCTCGCTCGTGGGCGCAACCGTTGGCAAACCCCAACGCGCCGCCTGCTATGTCTGTTGTCGAGAGCAGGTCGCCTCGTCCCAACGGCCAGTACTCCCCCAAGCTCGGCGGCGAAGACAGTCACCAACACCGCGACCTCCGCCACCACCTCTACCACGATGGCTACTCTAGCGCCAGCCCTTCCCCCAGGATAAGGCGGAGCATGTCGGACCCCTGGGCCTACGCCGACGACGACGAACACCCTCGCTCGTCCTCACAGCCTCGGGCGGTGAGCCGGGACGATAACCAAGTGGCCTCTGGAGAAGTAAGCGGCGGCGGGTCGATTGGTCCGGCTCCCGCTGCGAGCGGGGTTGGAAGGGGGGGCGGGGCGTCGAGCGGAGTTGAGCGGGGGCCGACGGAAGCAGAGGCAGCTGCAGCAGCTGAGAGATTGTCTGCCATCAGCTGTCCGGACCTGACTCTCGAGGCCAAGGGCCACCCCACTTCCGGCGGCGGCGGCGGCGTTGGAGGCGGTTTTGGAGGCCCGCACGGCGGAGGATCAGGAAGAGGCCTTCCTACCGAGCAGCAGCCACCGAGCACCATGCTGCCGGAAGCAGCGTCCAGCTCCTCTGGCCGGCGCCCTGTGTCCATGCCGTTGCCATCGGCCGGCGGCAGCGGGCAGTCGTCGTCCCTCCTGATGATGGGAGACGAGCTCTGGGCGCAGGAGTTCAGAGACCTGCGGAGGCAGGACGGCGCCGCCGGGGGTGTGCGTGGGTCTTCTGCGGATGCCGGGATTACCGCCGGTGATCACCATGACCGCGGCGGAGGGCGGGACCGTGACCCGCTTGAGCGGGCGGCGGGTGGTTGGTCCGGGGATCGACCGCGGTCGCTGCATCACCTGGACGGTGGGCAACTCGCGGAGGAACGCCGGCGTTTCGCGGAAGAACAGGTGCGTTCACGTTCGGAGCACGTTTGTCAGCCCGCGCACGCTCTTTTTTCCTGTTGCTTCGGAACACCCGAAGGCCCAGAGGACGGGTATCAAACTTGTGCACGGAGTTCCCGTACACGTTGGTCCCCACGACTCTGCTAACATATATTTGTGGAAGCGTTTTGTACCCGAAAAAGATGAAGCCTGGCTCGGAGAATAATGTGTGGGACTTTTCCCTCGCCCACAACTTGTACCCGTTCATGAGAATACGAGTTACAGTAGGCGGCTTCAGTGCTGATGCTGCTTACTGATGAGTTTGCTGTGATCACCCGCGTTTTGTGTCGATGGCCCCACGCATCCGCTGCTACATACCAGTTCGCCGTTCACCTTTCCACCACAACCCGATTGCTCCGACCCCGATCCCCCAATGATTTCGCGGGACTCAGGTTCGAGAGAGGGGTCCCGGCGGTAGCACCGCCCGCGTCCACGGCATGATCGGCGGCGAGCGCTTGACCCCCCTCAGCGGTTTCGAAGAGTCCGACGCCAGCGCGTCGCACGCCCGGCGCTTCTACCAGGAGCAGCAGCACCAACGGCAGTACCACCCGCACTCCTACCCCCGCATGCAGCGGGCGAGGAGCGATGGCCTCGTGAGTTCTAGCCACCACGCTGGCCGCGGCGGCGGCAGCGCGAAGCTCCAAGAGCGCGACGTCTACGACGGTGTGCAGCAGCACTACCGCCACAGCGGCTACTCCCGAGGATCGGACGGGAGCAAGCCGCCGCCGCCGCCGCCGCCGCCGTCCAGAATGGGCGACCACTACCACGCTAACCACCACCAGCAACAACCCACCCCGCACTGGCGGTACAGTAGCGGCGACTCCTACCGGAGCCATAGCCAGCAGCAGCAGCAGCAGCAGCAGCAGCATCACCACCACCACCACCGCCAGCCGGATGGTGCAGGTAACGGCGCAAACGGCGACGGGTCGCGGAACACCGGTGTGGGCAGCAGCCGCCACCTCCCCGCCCACCAGCAGCAGCAGCAGCAGCAGCAGCAGCAGCAGCAGCCGCAGCTCGTGTCTCGCAGGAGCAACGGGGGAGTGGTCGTCTCGTCCGCTGCGTACCACCGCGATGCGGGGAGGCGGACCGTCGGCAACGGGGGTGGTGGTGGTGGTGGTGGTGGGGGCGGGTTTGGTGGGAGGGAGGCGATGTTCGGGGGGGATGGAATCAGCTTGGTGCGGGGGGCGGGTACCGCCGGCGGCGTGAGGCACGGGTCACCGCCGCCGTTCGCAGAAGGCGACATCTCTCTTAATGCGAGTGTTCTGATCTGTTTGCCTGCTGTGTACCATTTTGTTCTCTTGGGGGGGTATTTTTCGATGGCGGGGGGTGGAGTTTTTTGCCGTTGAAGCGCGGGAACATTTGGTCGAGTTGCCATGTATTTTATTTTGGTACATGATGCAGTGTATTTTTTCGATAATTTGTTGATGCTTCGGCTTGGGTTTGTCTGGCGGAAGAAATGTTTGTCCCTGCGCTTATTTCCTCCGGCGGCGCTCGCAGAAGGCTCGTCTGTGCGTTGCATCGCATGCCCGAAGCTCGCCCCCAGGCGCCCGTGGGCACGTCTGCTCGGCATGTACCTCGCTGTGGTTTCACCGCACACGTGCGCGCCCCCACATCGGTATGTGCAGGTGGCGGAGTCTGTTCTGGTGACGCCGAGAACCGCCGCGGCTGACGGGTCGTGGAACAATGCCGCCACCAGCACCCAGGAAATCGCCGCAGGAGCGGCAGAGGCGGCGGTGGTGCCCCCGTGGAAGGGATCCCAGGCCGGACACTCGCAGCAGCAGCAGCAGCAGCGGCAGGTTCGTTTCATTCGTCGACGGCGGCACGTATCAACAGGGCGGCTCCATCTGCACGCGTCGTTGTTTTATATTTATATATTTTGTGAGCAGTGGGATTGTTTTTTATCGGATCAGCTCTCCTCAGGTGTGTTCCGGTGTATTCACGTTCGCTGCGTTTGCCCGTTGTTGTGGGTCGAGCTTGTGAATAACAACCCCCGCTGGCGCTACGGACCCCCTCTTTCACCGGGGAGGTGTGTTGACTGTTGTACCGTTCCACCGAAGAGCAAATATTCAGCGTGATGAACCCTCTCCCGACCCTTTCCGCTCGCCTCTTGCAGTACTCAAACGCTTCGCCGCACCCCTTTCACGCCACGGGAGACACCCGCGGCTTCGAGGAGGGCGGTGGCAGCGACGGCGGTAGCCGCCCCCGCCACACCCCTGGCGGTGCTCGACACAATTACAGCGCGGCTGCCACAAGCCGGGCGGAGAAAAGTCACGAGCCCGCCGCCGCGATGTTCCGGCGTACGCAGGAGGACGCCCACCCAACGTCCACCACGGCGAATCGCGACAGCAGCATCAACCACCAGACCGGTGGGTATCCCGGATGGAGCAGCGGCAGCGACGGGGGCGGAGGGTTCGTGCCTGGAGGGGCTGATAGCGTCGGCCGCGCGTCCCCGCTTAGCGACAGTCCTCTCGTTACCGGCCTCTCGTTCCCGCTCGAGTTCGCCGGGTATGGCGGCGGTGGCGGCGGTGGTGCCCGGGTGTTCGGCAGGACGGGAAGCGAGGGTGCTCTGAGCGCGCATGGTAGCGGTCCCGGCGCCGCCGTCGCCGCCATTTTCTCCGCTACCCGCAGCGAGGGCAATGCCGGGAGCGATGACGGCGGGCAGGGGACGTCCGCCACCGCCGCCCCCGCCGGCTTCACCGGCAGCGCGGCCGGCGAAGGCGCGGGTCGAGGGTTCGTCTCCGGCTTGTTTGGTCTGGACACGGTCGGCGGCGGAGTTGGGATCGGGTCCTCGCCGTCGTCTCACAACAGCGCCGGTCCCGTGGATGCTGCTCCTGCGATGATGCCGCAGCAGCTCAACCTCGGCCGTGGCTTCGGCGGGGGCGGCGGCGCAATTGGCTCGGGAATGGACCCGCCGCTCCACGTGGACACCAACAGCCTGTTTTCGTCGTTCGGACAGCGGGGGAGTGACTGGAGCGGCGGCGACGTGGTGAGTTTGTGTATGGGATAGAAATCGCTACCGTAACTCGCTTCTTTCCTCCTCGTCCGGCTCCCGGGTAGAATCGGTGTGTATCTCGGTCGCCATGAGCGCTTTTTTTTCTCTACCCATCATGCCAATGGCCGCGAGATCTAAAGTTCGGCCACGAGCAAACTACTCCAAAACATCGCTACAGCAAAGATGATGATAACCCGCTGTTTTCCGTGCTTGTGTGGTCGAGCAGAGGCCCTCCGGCCACCGTCAGAACAGCAGCGTCTCCTCCACTCCCGTTGGGGGAGAGCGCGGCGGGGCTGTAGGCGGCGGCGGCGGCGGCGGCCCCGTCGTCGCCATCGGAAGCAGCGGCAACAGTGCGTCCAACCCGGCAGCCGGTGCCGCCGCCGACAGTTCAGCTAGCCCTTGATGCCGGTAGCGGGGTGTGGTCGGGCTTGATTGACCTCTTGGGTGCGCCCGAAAACAGCGGGAGCGACGCAGTCGGGTTTTCGCGTGGTCCATGGACGTCACGCGGTGCCCGGGAAGTCGTTAACGATGACTGAACCCAGTCTCAAACGTTATTTGGCCACCCCGTCTGAAGGGCCGTGGGAAGATCGTGAAACCGCTGGAGGCCATTGAACTTGAAGCCCGAGGGGCAGTCAAGTGTTTCTCTGTCTTGGGGGTTTATTTTTTGGGGGTTTTAGAGGCGGCGCAGGGGTGTTTTACGCTCTCGTCTCTTTTGCGCTTGACGGAGCAGTTTGGCGTGCATGCCACTTTTGGCGATGAAGAGCAAAGAGGGTGGTTAGACTTTTTTGTTGCTTTTTGTTCCGTGTGTTGCAACGTGTTCCGGGGGGGGGAACGCCGAGGTGGTGGGCGAGAGGGGTGGCTTGTGGAGTCTGTGGGTCTTGTTTTTGTTGCTGCTGGTTTGTTGTGGTGTGCTTATTTGTTTTGCATGAACGACGTGCGCCATTGAAGAATCAGCAACTGAAAGATGCGAAGCTGAACATGACAGTTTCTTCTCAAGGTTTCTTGCATTGCGCAACGCCAGTTGGGATGATCAGAGCTACTTGCCCTGTCCACGAGAGCAATCGCGTCTGTTGCGGCTCTCCCGAGCTCGGACACTTGCGAGGAAGAACTGCAAGCATTGGCACCATTGTATCCTCAGTGTGGTTGCTTTTCTGCAAGCGATCCGCTCGGTCGAACGTAGCTCGTGGGAGCAAATGGGCTATCTGAGGGGTTCAACCGCCGTACAAGCAAGTTGGTCTTCAGCTATATGGACCAGCGAAGGGAAAGCTTGCAGTGAAATTGCGGTTCGTAGTTATTTCATGGCGTATTGTTGGCGTGCCGAGCGATTGTGATAAGAGGCCTGTGCGGTGTGTCCTTCTCCTGCACGGAACTAGACTGCTGCACCCCTGCCGTCCGCGTGCTATGTTGTTGTATTTCGTATTTCGTGCGATCTTCTCTTGTTGTGTGTGGTGTTGTGGTGGGGATCTGGAGAGCATAAAAAGACGGCGTGCGATGGGTAGCTCCAGCTTTTTTAACGTCGGGGTCTTCTTGGTGATACCTCGTTTCCCCCTGGCCCTCGCCAGACTCGCCCCAAAAGGTCGGTTCATGCTGTCGTCGACGTTAAACCGGACTTTTGGGGACGGCCGAACGATGGGAGCGGTCGCATGTCGTTCACGTGATTAATAGTTTTTTAGTCAGATTTTTTTTCAGATTGGTGAGCACCTGTTTCGTGTCTATGATAGTACAATAATATCCATGTCGTATTTTTGAGCGTTTTCTTAGCATTCGTCGGACTTGATGGTGTGTGTCTTCCTGTCTCCGCCGTCTCGTTCCGACGGCAGCAGTCTCTTTCCTGTCGTGCAATGGGACGCGGGGGTCAGATGTTCGTGCTTCTTTGTAGACCTCGGTGTCGTTTTGAGTACATTATTTTTCTTCAAATTTTTATTGTGCGGGTGAGCTTGCGCAGGTATTGCGGGCTCTTATTTTTCGTTGGAGTAGCGCTGCGATACGCCAGGACTTTCCCCATCCTCACTTCCGGCAGCATGTATGATTTTGTTCCCTTTCGACTGATCCGGAGATCGACGTATCGTGCAGCGGCTCTGGCTTTGTGGGGAGGTAGGTGGGACAAAGTGAAATCCTCTTTTGAGAGTTTTCGGTTTGAGTTTTAGGCACTCAGAGTGTGTGCGGAGCGCTCTCATTGGTCGTCTTCACGCTCGACGTTCTTGTTTGGTCGTACCCACCGCAGCAGACAGATGGTTTTCAACGCCGTTGGACGGCCCAGGACGCGGTCAAGGATAACTCTTGCAGTGTTAGAATATGGCGGCGGAGCAGTGACCCCTTCGATAGCAGTAGCAAATGTGGTCCTTAGTTTCGCCGTAGTGCCCTTTTGGCGAAAGGTATTTTTTTGTGACACTAGCCTACAATTAATTGTAGCGCTCTCGCTTTTGCGCCTTCGCGTGCATAGCGCTTGGCGTCGTTGTGGGTGATGGGTTGGCTTTGTGTTGTTGTTGGGGGTGGGTCGGATGACTGCGAAGTTGTATCCGGAGTCGGTATCCAGAGGCGCTTGTTGCGGTGTGTCACTTGGCGGTAGCTGTATTTTAGGCGTCTCGAGCGCGGAGCCTTTACGAAACCGGTGGGTGCAGGCGGGGAGGGATCTGAAGAACGTCTGTGTGGTCTGGCCGCGGTAGATAGATACATACGCATGTGTTTGTAGTGCCTTTTTATTGTGAATGTGGAAGTTCCCACCCTTTTGAAAGCCATCGACTGGACGAGGATGCTGCTCTTGACCCATGTTCTTGGTCGATATGTTTTCACTCGTTTTTGAGTCCGCGGGAATGAGTGTGGCGGTCGGCCTCTGGTTGACGCGGTGTGTGCCACGGCATGCGAGTGTGAAAGATAGGTCCACTGCACGGTTGGCTGTTCATGATCGTACCGCGCATAGGGTCGCTCACACCTTTTAAGGCAACACGGTGTTGGTGTGGTGAGTCAGGTGAGATCGAGCATCCCTCGGGCTGCGTCGACCTTGCGCTTTTGGGTATCAGATTGGCCGTGCTCGTGCCCAACGCACAGTGAAAGGTCGATTCCTGCTGAGGGAATCCCCAGGTCGCCTGAGCGTGTGGCTGTGGGTGCCTCATCTCCTGCCGCCTTGGCCTCGGGCGTGGTTCGAGCAAATAGTGAAGACGTGTAGCAATTTCGTGCCGACATGCAGCCGTGCGCCGGCGTTTCCGTTTGCTTCCGGCGGAACGGCGTCGTCTTTGCATCACAGCGCAGCGTGAAGGGTGACGACGGTGCTGCCCAAACCTGTTCTGTGATTGTGTAGGGTATCGAGACCTCTCCTGGCTGTCTTTGATTGATTGAATAAGCATTTTATTCTTATTTTTTTTAGTGCTGACGTTTCATGGTCGTATTTGCGTAAGGAGGCCGTGTCCGTGTGTTGTTTTGGTTAGTTTTGTTCCTCGTCGTAGTTGTGCCTTAGGTGTTTGTTAGCCGCGTTTGATGCATGCCTGTGCGTGTTTTCCCTGTCCCTTCCGTACAAAAGCTTCTACCCGATCATCCCTGTCGTGTGAATGGATCATTGGGCGAATTGCATGGAATATGTGATCTGTGTTGCCCACCATTGCCATGGTGGCGGGTAGAGGGGGGACAGGCGATGTGCTGCATTGAGCATGGCGTGCGGTGGTGTTATGTGTTGTCTGGCAGGACGTGAAACGTACCATTCGGCCTTCTTTCGAACGTGGCGGTTGCGGCGCACGTGTCTTCGAGTCCGTATGTGCGGCTAAGAATGGCAGCTGTCCTAGGCTGCGCGCCCAGTCGCGAAAGTATTCTGTCGGTCGCGTTGGAATGGAGGGACATGTCGCCGTGGAGCGGCTGCCCACGAACAGGCGGTGGGTAGCCCATCCTTCGCTTAGCTGGTGTTGTACCTTTCCCTCTTGCCTTTTGTGAAGATGTTTGTGTTAGTGGTGGTGGTTGATGTAGGGCAGAGGGGAAAACCACGCAGTAGGACATGTTTGTCTACGAACGAACTCGTAACGTGAGGGTCCAGTTCCTTACAGTCAACGGATGGTGCAAGCAATCGGTTGGTGAATTCTCTCTTTGCCTGCGAACCGCTCGTAAGGGTACTGATTTTTTACAATCAGGGGGATGGTATGAGCAAACCCTTGGCGGAGGTTTTCTCGCTATGTCAGCGATGTCGGCCATGCCCGTTTTTGTAGCTTTCGTGACGTCGTCGCTTGTGTGTACGATTATTATTACCGTTGGTGGCTTGCTTTCATGACTGTAAAGTGTATGGGCTTAACGCGGGGGTTGCTTCTTCGGTGGACGGATTGCTCCAAGGAACGATTCCAAGTTTTGGGCTCGGGATTTGGGGTTCATTCGCCCCGTGGTGATTCACAGGGCGATTTGGCGTGCACCGCTTCGCCACGGCGAAAGCCTTCTGTCTGTGTGATGTCGTCAAGTGGCGACCCCCTCCGTCGACGCACGCATGGGCTGGAGCTTGATTTGGTGTTGGTGTCGTCAACGTAGTTGGATGCCTTTTTCTGCACCATGTATGGGAGGCCAATTCCGCGTCGGCCAGCGATTCCGGCCAGAGGGGTTTCCAACACATCAAAGACAAGAGAGAGCATCTCCTGGACTGACCCCAAAAAATAATCTGGTTGCACCTCCATCAAATTCCCCTGCCTCCCCGACTGGTCCCGAGTCAAAGCGCCTATCGCAGAAGGTACATCCTGTCGGTGGAGAGCGTTTAGAAGGGTCCATTTGCCACGGCAATCGCCAGATGCCACCTTGTATCCAGTACCCTTCACATCGACTTCGTCGAGGACACTGGTTCGATCGCCGGTTTCCCTGGTATGGTTGTGAAAACGTGTTCTTGGTAAAACGCCATGCACGGCAAGTGATCACATTTCTCCCAGCTTTTTGCCTCACCAACTCGCAACCCCCTACATGTAAGACCAGGAACGAACGTCTTCCAGGCCGAAAATGGAACATCCAGTTGAAACGACGTGCAAGATTCACTCAAACGTCAAAGGAATCATCGGCACTAGCGACTACGGCATCGCCTGCTGCTCGTCGAGACTCGATGTGGCCTTTACCTCGTGAACCTTGAACGTTCACTACGTCTGTAGTCCAAATGACGAACCCCGCCTTTGGGTTCGATGTCGAGACCTCTGACCCTACTAAACACGCCGTCCGTGCGGTCCACTACCAATAGCTCGGATGAGGGCAGTGAGGAGGCGAGGGGGCCGGATGGACACATCCTCCGATATTGGGCCCAGGGATTGCTGCGCAAACGACGTGGTTCACAGAGCCGAACCGTGCTCCTCTGACCCCGGTGCCACAGCCCCGTGCATCATTGACAGTGAGCAGCCGTGACACGACGAGCACCGTCCTCGTTAGCGCGTGGGTGACGATGAACATTGATTCACGTACTGCACGTTTTGGAAGGGATAGCCGATTGATTGTGATGGCGTGGGCGTCTGCCTCTTCCAGTATTAGTTCCTTTGACTGGTAGGATTGGATCCAATTCGTGGCACCCGAGTTTCCTCAGCCGTATGGGTTGGGTCTTGCATTCAACCATAGAACGCAAGCACTACTGCACCTGACATATTATTCGAGAAAGTAATGGATTTCCTCCCGGCCGAGCCACTTACAAGAACAAGATTGGCCCACCTACCATCACCACAGTACACACACCACGTGCACAATGGTAAACACAGAAATCGGAGGAAACATCGGAAAAATAAGGACGCCTCGTCGTAACGCGTGAAGCTTTTCTCTGCGGAAGAAAATAGGGGCTTAATTTGTTTTCGCGGGGTTCGCCCGCGTAACAACTCTAAAACCTCTGTCAGTACCTTAATAAATTGCCGTACTCCGAACACCACCACCCCGGCTAGATCTAACGAGAATCACAAAGTACGCGACGGCCAGGTTAAACGGTAGCCCCCTTCAAGTACACTGCACACTTCCCCATAATCCCCTCAAGTCTATTTCTCCAAAAACATTTCTAAAGCATTCAACAAAGTGTCAAAGTCTTTCATGAAGTGGTGATACACACCGCCCATACAACACCCACAACCTAGTTGGTACGGTCCACTCATCATGCATCAGGCGTCCGTAGTAAACACTAAGTGAGATGGAAACAAATAAAACACACAGACAGACAGATATCTCCAACGGATGAATTTTCTGATGTAGGGGAAGGGTGCCGCACGATTCTCCTGCACACGGAGGGCGGTATTCCAAGGGTGCAGGCGCAATCGGAAGGCCTGGAGACATCCCTGCAACAACACAATGTACAGACAAGACGCGTGGGCGGCAGCTAAAATACGCGTCTACCCGTACTTGACAAAATTCTGAGAAATTCGGTGATGATTCTGACACCCTACCACGAACTCTCTCCGTGATTTCGGTAACAGACAGAAAACCCTATAATAGTAGACGGAAACTTCCATGAGTGAATTCCGTGACACTTGCGAAAACAAAGCAAAACAAAAACTCGGATCTTATGTGAGAGCCGTGCACATATTCCAACATTCCGCGACGATACCCCGGCCCTGTGCGAGTTCTGCCGCGCTTTCCTGTGCATACCCCGAACGGTTTAAAAGTTCCACAACCCCAGTGGCCTAGGTGAGGGGAGAAAATGCGGGGACAAAAACATTTAAAATATAATACCTGGAAAAGCGGGAAACCGGGGGAAAGAATACTGTGCCGGGAATTACGCGTACCCGGCGCCATGCAATTTAATACTAACTACCCGGACTCGGTGAGTTCCGCTACGTTTTTTTTCACCCCGCCGAGCGACACTTGTGTAAGTTTTGTCTCAATTTCATGAGCTTACCGGGAGCTTCCATCTGTGAGGTCTGGTACATCTGCCAAACACTATCCGTCCCATCCTGCCGACCCCATCCCATCCTGTCGATGAAAAAAACTCCAAAACTCACTGTGTCATCCAATCCCACCGCCTGGAAACCCATGGTGCCCTGATGTTGTACATTTTCACCCGTTTCAGAGCTCAACACCTTGCCCCTGCCCCTGGTGCCTTGGGTGGGCCTCTGATGGTAGGAACGCAAGCCAGCACAGGCGCCAAGCAACCGCTTTGCGTTGGAGGTTGGTCACGCCAAAAGCCCAGAAATGGTCCGGATTCGAGACACGACGTTGACGATGTGTTGCCGTACACGTAGCAAGCAGAACACATTCAAAATTCTATCTTGTATAGCGTGGTACACCTGGGTCACTAAACAGAAAGAAAACACACACACTGAGCACCAGGAGCTTCAGGACCCAGTCCTGCGTCCTGCGCACCTCAGATCCGCTTACACTTTGTGGGAAAGTGGTCGTCGGAACGAAGCCCGTGCTGCGTGCGGGCCTCGTGCTATGGTGCCTACAAAATGCATCGTAGTCCGGGCGCCACACACGCACCCGGTGCTAGCTCAGCGATTTCTCCATTCGGTAGATAGGCGGCTAAACCAGCTCGGTGTCCGTACCGCCCCATCTCGGGAGGTTGTTGTAGACGTAGGGCAGAGCGGGATTCGAGGGGTACATAAGCTCCAGCAGCTGCTGGTTCGTGAGGTAGTCTTCTCCGGGACCCAGGCCGATTGCCAATTCTTTTTGAACCGCGAGAAACAACAAGTATTATCAGAAGATGTGTCAGGGGGGTGGGCGGGGGACGTACTCATGTGTCACTTGCCTTGGTTGTTAGACAGTTGACCACGTGTCCTAAAGATGACGAGCAATGTTCCCAGACGACCGATCACCGATGGCCAACCGTTCCTTCCTACCCTGCATGCCGGGAGGGGGTCGAAAACTTCGACACGGTGCTCAGATGATTGCCGAGCTACATGTACTCCTTTTTATTCTTTCGGGCGCCTTCCGGTAGTAGCTCGCTGGTGCTGCGGGCGTGAGATTAACAGACCTTAGACAGGAGAGGCCGGAAGAGTTTGGGGGGAGTGTCGGTCGGGACGACACTGTTTCCCGGTAGCCCTTGCGAACCAAACGCCGCCGCCGTCCTTGTGACGGTGTCGAACCACCCCCCCTGGTTCCGCTACCGAAAGTCGGAACCGACCCTTTGGGGTCCCGGCTGTGTCTTGCGGGCCGTAGTGCGGTCGATGCGTGTCCCTCATTTCACAGCGCTTGCGGACCGCGAGCGTGCAACGCTGGCCTAGACCACCCGTTACCCGTCGAAGGCGGGAATTCGGGCGGCTAGGGATGCGCTTCTCGTCGCCATGTTGAGACGACCTCTCATGCACTACTTTACGTTGGCAAGAAGAACTGAACGCACGAGTCTATAGCTGCGTGGGCCTCACCCGTGATCGGGAGCTCGTCCGTGTAGCCGCTACCTGGGCACTCGCCATCGACCCACTCCATCGTGTACTCGTCGTACTTGGGAGAGAGCAGCAAGACATGCATCGCCTTCTCGAACAGCGGGTGCAAGACCCAAAATATCTGCAAATGATGTTTTTTATCCAACAAGGGCAGGCGGGGGGAGGCGAGTAGAGCAACCACGCCCGGGTGATGGCGCTCAGGGGCAACGCGAAACTAACACACAGGAAGCGGGGATCTGTCGCCGCAAGCTCAAGACGATGGCGTCGGCGAGGGAAGCACAAACGACAGAACCCCCCCTCCAAAAAAAAAAAACAGAGCGGATTCATCACAATTTGAACATTCCTCGAGGGCTACACTCATGCCGGAAATACTTTCGGCAAAGGGGTTCTGTCTGCGATTTCGCGGGGCGAGACGGCATTTGTTTCGAAGCGTTTTAAGTGAGGTCCGTTGGTGCAGCACGAAGAAGCACCAAACAGAACGCCACTGCCGTAGGGAAACGAGCACAACAGACAGGAACACAGGAACGCACCGGGTCAACCGGGCTAGCAGCCGTCGACATCATGCCCACCGCTCCGGGCTCGCACCCGATCTTGACCAGTGTTCTCATCAAGAACATTGCGTGTTCATCGCTCATGCGGTGGTCATCCTTATGGGGCACGGAGGAGAAGGGGAAAAGGCGACCACAAGTAAGCAAAACCGACGGCCAGCGGCGAACGAGGCAAAAAAAAATGTCCAGGCATTCTGGGGGACAAGACTCCCGCGGGAGACGAGCCGAAGAAGGGGCGTGCCCGTGCGCGCAAACGGGCAGGAGGGTATGGCAAGCCGTTCTCGTACCTTTCGGGGTGTGTGTGTGTTTCTTTTCTCGCGATTCCATCCTGGCGCCAAACTACACGGAACTACCATGTTGATGCTGACAATTCTGTCGAGACGAAGTGTCTTCCAACCCTTGGCAGGGAAAAGGAAAACGACTGTACGCTCGTCGCTTCCCGAGAACCCATCGACCACGGTGGGCGGAAATCACGCCTCTCACCCTCTCTATTGCTGAGTCTCGCGCCGAGAGAGAGGGAGGGAGCGCTGACAACGGGAACACTACCCACACGGGTCGCTGTGCTGAACCCGAATAGATACAATCGTATCCTCTACCCGACACGTTCACACGTGTTGGCAGAGTCCTGTCGTGTCGAAACAAAGTGACAGGCTTCGACGGTCTCAATCAAGAAGCCCGGCATCCAGCAGACGTTTCCTCACCACTCAAAATATCCAAGAAATATGTCCGATTGGGACATTTTGTGTGTCGAACGGGCGGCAGTCTTTACGCTGTGGTTGTATGCTCTTAAAAAAATCATACGTGAAGTCACTGACTACACCCGCGTTCGAGATGGTACTCGAGTACAAGGCATACGGGTTGAAGAAAAAAAACAAATTGTGGTTGTGGGTTGCCCCAATCAATAAGGCGTACGGGTTGAAAATGCAAATTAAAATATTTTGGAAAATTTGATGATGCCAATAGCTGCCGCGCCGCCGGTGGGCGGCTCCCCCACACCTGAATGAAGCCGTAGGGGTATGCAGCTTCCTCGTCGTGGGTGATGTACAGGTAGCCGCTAAAGTCGGTCATGGCCGCTTCCATGAACGGCTGCATGTAGCCGTAAACCTGCGAAGAAAAATGCAGAGATGCGGGAGCGTGTGCGTGCCGGGGGAAACCGCGCGCAATCATTGGGGCGGAGCCGCGTAAGACGCAACGTCTGCATCCAGCCAATGGCGTTTAGATCGATTACCATCGGTCGTGTGAGTTGTAAGGAAGTATGGGTCGCCCAATATCTTCATGCGAGAGTCGTTTTGGGCTCCTGGTGACCCGTAAACATTCTACCGCCGGGTTGTGTGGTATTCGTGGGTGTGTGATCGTTGTGTCGCATGCAGAAAATAGCAGACACCCACACACACGCAACAGACGGAATTTTATTGCTTAGTCGGCGTAGCGCGGCGGGTGCAAGATATAAAGACAACACACGCGCACACTCGACCTGCTCCTCGGAGATGGCGAACGCATCCATCAGACACGTGCAGCCACACGGCTCCGTCTGCCCCCTGTCGCAACTCGCGTCGCAGACGTTGTCGTCGGGCGTGAGCGCGTTGCAGGCCGTGAACTTGAAGGTCAGGATCTGCAGGGCGAACGCGAGCAGGCCGTGGGAGTACTCCGGGTGCTCCGCCGAGAAGTTCGCCATGTCCGTATTGCAGTCGAACGCCCCGCCGAGAAGACCGTGGATATCCCCGTGAATCTTTCGCGGTGTGCGGAACGGGTGCGCGGGAAGCAGAAAAAATGAATATTTGAGTTGAAGCTAAGGGGAGGGGGGAGGGGGGGCAAAATGGGCTAGCCCTGAGACCAGCTCTTCTGGGGAGTGCGATCACGCGGGGAGGACGTTCACAACGGATCGGGCAACATGCTCTGGTCCAAACCCGACCTATCCGGGGGACCCACCGGACAATAATTTTGGAACCGTGTGCTGCCCCGCAGGACGAGGAGACAATAATCGTGAAGGGAAAATCACCAACGATCTCGCACGAATGATGACCAGGTCGACCACGCAATCAATCAAGTAAGCCAAACCTTACGGGAAAGGAGGCTCCAATGCGATCGAGGGCTGAAATTAAACAAAATTAAAAAGAAGAAACGAACACCGAGCCTGCAATGGCTAAAACGACAGGGAAAACCTTTTAAGGGTTGACCAAAATCGAGAAAAGCAGGGAAAAAGAGAGTTTCCGGGGGGAAACAAGCAAACAACGGCCAAAGAAATGGGTAGGAAACAGATGCCACAAAACAAACTTCTGCATGTCACGGGACGACGTGCGTGCGATCGGGGGGGGGAAGGGGGGGAGGGGGGGGTACTCATAGTCGTGCATGCCGTAGTCGATAGAGCATTGACCTCGCATCCCTACACAGCCGGGACGGAGCACGCGGGGTTCTCACCGGACCAGGCTCTCATATCACCAAGCGCGAAGCGCCGTGAGGTATTTGGCGAGTGGCATGAAGGGTGCGCTGCATCCTGCTATGGGTGTTCGGCATCTTGTGCTTACTTCCTTGCGTACGGATGGCAGCTGCTTATGACTTTATTTATTTTCTGGTGCTTTCACTTCCAGAGACAGTTGTAAGCACTGTGTAACGGCCTCGAGGATGCTTGACCATTTTAACACAACGTGGTGCGATCATCCTCCTTGCGTGGAGTGAGGGTTCTCGACCCCGCACAACATGATCTACTCGACCACCACTATGGATACCGCAAACAATAAAAACTGAAGTAAAAAAAACACACGGTAACCTGGTTGCCGAGTTCACGAAGTGAATTGGCTCGTTTTACAACGTCGTTGCCAAGCGACGAAAACTCAATCCCGACGGCAAACACCGAGGGGGGGGGTTGTTTTACAACGTCGTTGCCAAGCGACCAAAACCAACCCCGATGGCAAACACCGGGGGGGGGGGGGAGGACAGAGGCGGGGGGAGACTCACCATTGCTGGTCATGCATACCCCTACACTATCTTCGACCACTGGTTTGGGCCTCAAGTCACGGACGTGCGCGGGAGGGGAGGGGGGGGTTCGACTCGATGAACGCAGCGCGACAGAGAATCCTGCTCGACAAACGACACACTCGGCTCACGAACTCCATAACATGACCCCCACCCGGTACCTCGCGTTGCTCCTTGCCTACCTTGTACTGCATGCACTCCTCCCAACCGTAGAGAGACCTGTTGTCCCCGAAGCAGCCCAAGAACACGTCCAGGGTGGCGAAGGTGTCGCGAGATTGCAGGCCACAGTACGAGCTCGTGCGGGTCAACCTCGGGAGATCCTGGCAGAAAGACCACCCGACGACGCGTGAGTGCGCGTGAGCTTTGGCTGTTTCTGTGTGCTGCTGCCGTGCGCATCGTTTTGGTACAGCGGCAGCTCTACAACTTCCTAGGAGCGCCTTCGCGGGTGCCCAACTAGCTTCTTCTAAGCATACCACAAGTGGACGCGCGGGCTTGTTCCTATTCGCTGCACGGGAAAAACGCGAGGGATGTCTACCTTGCGACGACAGAGCCTGTAGGCGTCACAAACGTTAATGCGAGTTATGACAACGCACGCAAACAAAAGAAATCACGCGTCGCCAGAGTGAGTATGTGTTGATTTGTGCGCATGGCCTGGGAGCCCTTCGATGAGCTACGTTTGTTTCGTTGTTGCTTGCATGGTATTGTTTAGAACCAACAGTGGTGAACGAAAAACGTTTAACACGACACGTGCCGGTTGAGACATCAAAACAGGAAGACTGCCCGCTTTGTACCCCTTGGTCATACCAACCAGGGTGTAGCACGGAAACACTGCGGGGGGCGAAGAACATATCTAGACTCGGGCGGTGTGAGCGGGGAGCGCGGATTGCAACAAAGATTGTGTAGATATACACCGACCGGTGTCTCCTCGAAGTGTGTACCGGTGTTTTGGGGGTAGTTGGACTTTGACCACGTCCGAGCTGTTCGGGCCAGTTGGACCGGTGCAGACAATACCGAGCGATCAGACCGGGACGGCGCTCAAGGCGAAGACCCTGGACCAACATCCGTGAGATTCTGCCTCGTCCTTGCGCTCTGCACAATAGATGGTGTAAAGATGAAAGCCACACCGGCAGAGAGAAAAACGGACACCGGACTGGTGTGTAATACGCCCACGAGGCGGGACGCTGAGGGGGGGGGGGGGATACACGAATCATACGGCACAATTCCACAAGAAGTCAAACCGTACGGCTCATACAGCAACCAATGGCGAACGAATGCGAAAGCGGGCGGGCAGGGACGCAACCTGGTAGTTGTGCGAGGAAGAAAGGTACCCGTACGGGTTGTGTGTGGGCGTGACTCTGCTATCCGTGAGGGTGTAGTCGGGGTCGTAGATCGCGGAGACGTTGCCGAAGCGGCCGCCCGTGACCATGAAGTGGTTCTCCACATCGCCCATCGCGGACCCGAACCAGTCGGGCTGGAACATTACGCTGTCGTACCACCTGTTGTCGAAAAGAGCAGCAGCAGCAGTAGCAGTGTTCATGCGCTAAAATGACGTTGCTTTTACATATTATTTCAAACCAAGACCCCCGTCCCGCCCCCTACCGCGAGAACTCAACCCGACAAACCGAGAGCCTACAGTACAGAACGAAGAATACCCACTCGAGGCCCAGCAATGCCGAGTCGATCATGTAGTCCCACACGGGAAGGGAAACCGTCGGGTCGATCATCTGGAGGTAGCGCTCGACGATGAGGTCGAACGCCGCGTGGCTCGTCAGGAACTGCATACCTTGGTGGTAGCAGAAGTTTTTGTACTGCCGAAGAGGAGGATCGCAGTCGGTTTTCATTAGTTTTTTGCCCCGTCTATCGGAAGGGATCGAGGGAGGCATCCACGGCCGGGGGCCACGGATTGGCCCAAGGGGCTTAGAAAATAGAAACGGTTTTGGGTTCATGCGTCAGTTCACACGGCAGTCGCACACTCGTCTTCAGGCATGCTTGTTGAAAACGGGGATTCCGGGATAACGGCAGGTCTTCGCCCCGCACGGCTACAGGGCCGGTATGCGCCCCGCCAGATGCATCGGCCTTAGTGAGGGCCCCCCTCGCCACCACGGAACTCTTGACGGCGGAACCCTAACACCAAACGCTAGGCGGCTCCTTCTCCTACACACTCGAGGCATTCAAGGAATCCCGCCGGCCGCGCTTACATCGGTGCCGTGGATGGCGGCGATGGACATGTAGTTGCTGTAGTTGGGCCCGTACTTGGCCTTCCCCGCGTCGGTCGGCAAGGTGTACCAGGTCTCCATGGCGTCCAGAAACGCCTCCCTGTCCCCATCCGTCAGGTCGCGGATTTCGCGCCTGGTTGCCAGAGAACAAGGAGGACGGGAGGCACATGCCCGAGGTCTATGGGTGGCCTGGCGCGAACGGCCTTCAGGCGAGAGGACAGTTCAGTTCAACCTCCGAGAGGCAACTCTGGCACGGATACAGTTAACGGCGGCGCTTAAGAATCTCTAGCTTCGGCCGAGGGTTGAGGTCCATTCTCCCTAGGGTTAATAGGTTTTGGTGAGGGGCTCTTCACCGGTCTCACGAATGGTGTTCGAATTGTTATGAGTCTAAGCTGTTCGAGGCTCAAGTTCAAGTTCTTAACTGATAAGTTCGTAAGTGTTGGCTCTAGCTGGAGGGGATTCGCCCGGGAACATCTGGTACCAAAGAAGACCCCGCGGGGGGGGGGGGGGGGGGGGGGGG